CCGGACATTGGCGGCATGGACATGCTTGATATCCTGCTGAATATGGGCGGGCCGCCGGGCAGCGCTTAATCGGTGGATTTGAGGTTAGGATTGCGGAAGGTGTGATGCGCTCTGCATTGAGGAAAAGCATGAGCTTGTTTGTTGGACAAGTTTTAGACGATGGCGATATGGAAGGAAAACTCTGGAGATCAGATGGTCGTTTGAATCTCCGGCTGATAGATCGCGGGAGAGATCGTTGTACAAGTGATACCCAGCCTGTAGGCTGCGGATGCAGTCCGCTTTTGTGTTGACTTTGTTAAGGTGTCCTAATAATAGAGTATGTAGGATTCAACAATGAGAAAAGCACGGCGTTTGCTTTACTTGATACGAAAAAGTTCGTTCTTCTTAAATGACGCAAGTGGATATATGGTACGAACAGCCTCACACATCTTCAACGCTATATGGACAATTTTCTTCGGCCAACCAGACTCCATCATTCTGTGTTTGTCAGTTCTTTCTTTCCGTCGACAAACCCACTGGTCGGCTACACACCAAGAGCGTCTTCACCATACTCTCGGACAGCATGTGAAGGTCAATACATTCTTTCCCAACATACGAGAATCCCTCAACGAAACCAAAAACCATCAAACAATTGCCATGTGATTTTGATCAGAAACAAGGTTGTGTCCGCATGAGGCTGTTGCGAGTGAAGAGTCGGCCAGCTCCCGATGGTCAACAAGCACTTCGTTAGGTTCTGAGACAAGTCCACTTAGATATGTCTGTTGTAAAGAACTGCTGTGTGGCATTGGAGTTCATTATCATTGAATTTTCTCTACCATATCCTCTAGTTTCTTTCTTTAGTTTCACACTTTCCGCCTCATATACTCCACAACGAGACTATCTCTTCAATGTCTTCTGCTTCTCGGCATCAACGACCACCTTTTCACCCGCAACCCGAAGTCCCTTCCTCCTCCTGACCTTATCTACGTATCTCTTGGCAACGTTCTCTCGATCGGCCAGCTCACCCAAATCCTCAAGCTCATCTTCCGTGAAAGGGACCCAGAAGGGATCTTCATCCAGCATCTCAAAACCAGCGAACCTCAACTGCGGGCTCGCGGAACCGGAACTGCGCTTCCGGATCTCGTCGCTGAAGCCAAAGGACTCGGCAACGGGAAGAAGTGCGTTGATGGTAAAGGTCTGCGAGCCAGTGGTTGAAGCAGAGGAAGTAGAGGACAGGGTTTCAGAAAGAATAGTTCCACGACGACGCGTTAAAACGGCGTAGACACGGCCGAGAACATCGGTGGAAGCTTGAATTTCGCAGCTGTACATTGCCAGAAGCATACGAGGTGACCAGTCCAGGAAGCCTTGGTGAATGGAGGAACGTACAGCCTTGATGACTTCACCAGTCAAGCGACCGCGATCTTGTGCGCTCTCATCGTCGGGGATGTTGAGGATGACGTCCTCGAGAAAGACGGCGATGCCTTGAACAGGCTCGGCACAGCAGGGACCTTGCGCAGTGGCGAGCTGGAAGGCGTAGGAGATTGTAGAGGAGAAGGTGCGTGCGGATATAGTGCGGTCGGCGGTATGGTCCGCGTCAACATCTGGAGAAGATGACTCGCGGAGTCTGCAAAGGATTAGCTGTGAATGGAAGTTGAAAACAAATATACATACGCCCTGCCACAGATACCGTCCTTGGTCGCGTCGACCAAGATATTTGGTCCTATTCTCCGAGGACCAAAGGCTGTAATCTTTTCAATCACGTCGGTCCAGATCTCTTTCTGTCCCTTGGCCTCGGCGAATGCCTCCTTGAGCTGCTTCTTAAATTCGTCAAAATTCAGACTTTGTCCAATCTCGCGTTGTTCAGCCTCTTGTATGCCATCATCCTCAGCACCGTGCACGCGATGCTCTCCTTCGTCTTCGGCTCGTCGCTCCGAGTACAACTTCTTGATCGCACCCGCGTTCTTGCCCAGAAATTCTGTCACACTGGCTGGTAGTGGGCGAACTCGTAAGCGAACAGAAACATGCTTGCTAGCAGTCTCGCCAATGACTGTTCCTCGTGGTAGATTAGGGTCTTTGGGTGGGTTCATCTCGGTTGCAGCCACTATTGACTCTCGGTATGGCACAATGGGTTCGCCAGCCTGGATTTCGCACTTTGCAAATCGCTCTTGAAGATCCTTCAGACATCGCTCAAGATGCAATTCGCCAGCTGTTAAGATGACATGTTCTCCGCTAGGCAGTTGCTCGTATTCAGCACATGGATCGCTCTGGACAAGTAGCTTCAAGCCCTTGATCATCTTGTCTAGATCATATGGGTTTTCAGGCTCGAGCGCAACGCGCACAATAGGTTCTGAGCCCATCTGAATACCAGCAAGATTGGCGGATCCAGGAAGCTGGGAGCAGAGAGTGCCGGACTTTAGGATGTGGCCCTCGAGTCCACCAATGCCAAAGACGACACCGGCAGGCACCGAGGTCAATGGCTCCAAACCGCGACCCATCATCAGGTACAGCGCAGTGATTTTGACCTTTTGTGGCTCCGGAGAGGCGTGTGGGTTCGCGGGGGTGAATTTAGGGCCAAGAACGTACACTTCGTCGCCAACACTCAAGGTACCAGAAAAGATACGTGCGAATCCGATGAGGTGTTCGGCTTCTACGTCGGGCACTGGTGTCTCTTCTACAGGCGTCTCGGTTTCTCCAATAGCAGCAGAACTTAATGCGTCTGTGACTCCACCGATGTCAGCGTCCTCGCCGTTGGCGATAGCCTGCTGCCGGGCAATCTCTGCCCTCTTCTTCCGTCCCATCTCCCTTGCCTCTTCAGCTGTGAGTGCGCCACCTCTTCGCTTGTTCTGAGGTAGTTCGCTAGAAGGCACTGAGATCATCTTGCTGACATAGGCTACGACAGGGTCATCCTTGGAGGCCTTGAAGTTGGTCATGGCGTCGCGCACTTCTGGTGCAACGTAATCGGCACCTGGCGAGCTATCGATGATTTCGGGCATGCGTTCGGCTTGCGCTTTGGAGGGGGCGGGTAGATATTCGGTGACTGAAACTAAGAGGGCGGTTGATAGTGGAAGCCAAGCTGCGAAGAGTGCCATTAGGAGTGCGCGCGGGTCGCGAGAACGCATGATATGTGCTGGAACGTTAAGGTTGAGTGACTTGGTAATCTTCTCGACCATAGCAGGATCTCTGTAATGAAAAGTATAAGTATATTGCTATGATACATGGACATGAATCACGCAAGGAAAGGAAATCCACGCACCCCTTCCCGTTGTTACCTCCCGTAGTGGCCTCGTATACGGCCCACACGTTATCTAGGACGAGCTGGACGAACATGGGCTTAAGATGGCGACCCTTGAGATGCTTGGAGCTGAGTACGCGCTTCGTCTTGGGGTCTAGGTAAAAGTCGCCCCATAGTACCTTTTCGAGAATGGAGCGCTTGATGCCTAGTTTCTTCTCGTACAGGCTGGCGAACTGTCTTACCGTGAATGCCCAGCCGTCGATGGCACTACCGAAGATGACGTTGTTCTTCTCTGGGGCAAAGTAGATGTCTTCGTCGTCCTTCTCCTCGTACTCGGCGGGTGTGCTCGTGGTATCGATGCTTTCACCGTTCTCTGGTATGGATGAGGATCGTGTGTCAGTATTCTCAGCTGCAGCGTTTAGTCTCTCTTCCATCTTCTCGCGCCATCGGAGGTCGTCCTCCATGCGCTCGCCTTGGTAGAAGCTGCCCATGACGGCGTTTACCTGTTCGAGCAGCTTGCTCAGATGTGTGTATGCCTCTCCAGGGCTCATCTTGAGTTCTGTGATTAGCCTGTCCATTTTGTTAATGACGAGCAAAGGCTTCAGCTTCTCTATCCACGACTGTCGCAGCACTGTGACAGTCTGACTACACACGCCCTCTACGGCGTCTACAAGCACGACAGCGCCATCGCAGAGACGTGATGCGGTAGAGACCTCGTAGCTGAAGTCTATGTGTCCCGGCGAGTCTATAAGGTTTATGAGGAATTCCTTGGGCTCTGGCTGTGCGTCGGGCGCGGAGCGTCGCAGCAGGGAAAAGTATAGCGAGATGGCGGACGACTCCATGGTGATGCCGCGCAACTGCTCGTCGGGTCTCGAGTCGAGGTAGCGGATCTTGCCAGCGAGTTTGGGGGAGATGATGCCATTGGTGGCTATGAGGGCATCGGTGAGGGACGTCTTGCCATGGTCCTGCCGCATTCAGCACATGTCGCGTTCACGCGCATCAGCAAGTCGACCTACCACGTGAGCTAGGATGCAAATGTTCCTGATGCCATCAGCCGCCTGCTGCAGCGACACCAGCTTGTCGCTCGGAACGACAGGCATCCTGGTCGAGTGTTGTGGTCGAGACTGGTTGCGACAAGGACTGGGGGCGGGCGCCGTGTTTCGCGTGGCGACGTGAAGGCAGTGGAGCGCGGGAGAGGCCGTTTCACTGCAGATCAAAAGCGCGCGTACCGGAAAAGGCAAATTGGAGGGGCGTGGACAAGTGCCGCAGGTGTTGAGGTTACAGATTTGTTGTGTGGTTTTGGGGCATGGCGGAAGATTTGGATGAAACGCAGCGGCGGCTACCAAGGTCCCCGCCAAACCGTCATCACTATGGCTCATTTTTTGGTGGCGGTCCAGCTGCACCAAGACGTCAGACCCTGCTGACATAGCCATATGCAACCCAACGGCCTCCCTGCCGAAGCGTCGCATGCACCCCCCTCCCGTCCTGCGTCGTCTGCGATCGCCGGCGGCGGCCTTTTGTTTGACCTCACCACTTGGGCCGGCCTGCCTGCCTGGCTGCCATGTCCTTATAGCCTGTGCGCCTGCCGTCGCTGGTGCGGTTTGCGCCCCATGCATTCCCCCTGTCCCCTCGCCTACCGTCTGTCGATCTCCCATAACACTCGGGATATAACCAACGCGCTCGAGCATCGCAACGCCCCTATAGCCGCCTACCTTCACTCCCACCACCGAGCCCGCGACCACTCATCCCGCCCACCCCGCCTACCGTGAATGTGACTCCTACCGCCGACATGGCAGCGACACTGGACGGCCAGCACACGCCCGCCAAACCCGTTGCGATCCGCTCTGCTGGCATGAAGCTGGACCCGCCCCATATACACAACATCAAGACGCTCAGCGCCAGCGTCGACATCATGTCGCCCGTCAACCAGAACGGCTGCTTCGAGTTCGACCGCATCATCAAGGCCGGCACCGTCGTCAAGCGCACGAGGAAGACAAAGGCACGCACCCACGCCCGCGACCACCGTGGCATGACGTCTGCTAACACGTGCACAGCAATGGAAGCCCGTCTACATCGTCCTGCGCCCCAACTGCCTCTCCATCTACAAGGACAAGCACGAGACCAAGCTGCGCCACCAGATCAACCTCTCCGAGATCACGGCAGTTGCGCGCCAGAGGGACTCGAAGAAGAAGATGGAGCACGTCTTTGGCATCTTTTCGCCCGCCCGCAACTACCACCTCGGCGCATCCACAGACAAAGACGCTCAGGACTGGGTGCACCTCATACGTACCGAGGCGCGCATTGGCGAGCACGAGGCTGAGATGACCGTCATGAGTCCCACAGCCACAAAGAAGACGTTTGCAGGCTTTGGCCGCGCAACCAGAGAAAACATTGTTTCCAGTTCCTCCGAGACAGAGCCGAGACCCTCGAGCTCCATCGCCCCGGAGAACATGCACAGCGCCCGCCGTCCCTCACAAGCCCTCAACTACTCCGGCGGCGAGCGCGGCTCCATCTCCGACTTTGACTTCTCCGACACCAACCAAGCCTCCGCCAACTCTCCGCCCCCGAGAACACCACAGCAGCAACAACCCAACGCGAGCCAGCAGAGCAACATCGGCGCCACACCCGACGACGAGCGCGTCGTCTACCACGGCTGGCTCTATGTCCTCAAATCCAAAGGCGGCGTGCGCCAGTGGAAGAAGATCTGGGTGGTGCTGCGACCAAAGTGCCTTGCTTTTTACAAAAACGACGATGAATACTCCGCGACCCACATCATCCCCTTCACCAACATAATCGATGCCGTCGACATAGACCCACTCTCGCGAAGCAAGCAATACTGCATGCAGGTCATATGCGAGGACAAGAATTACAAATTCTGCGCTTCAGACGAAGATGCCCTAGCCAAGTGGCTCGGCGCGTTCAAGAGCTTGCTGGTCAAGAAGAAGGAAGTGCCTCAGACACGCATACAGCAGGCAGCTCCTAGCACCATCAACATCCAACCAGCAACCCCAAGCCTCGTGTCTTCACCCATACTGCCAGCGCAGCAGCCTCTCTCCATCAGATGACCCTCGCTTGCCATCCCCGACACTCCTTCCAAACACCAATTGTACATACGCTGGCCCTCGTATCCTCTTCGAAACTCCCACCCTCCACCGCCATCACTAATCGCGCAAACACTCCCTTGACCTCTTCTCCTTACGATACCATTACGATTTATGACTTCAGCCTTGGCGCTGCCCATTGATGGGGCCTTTTGATACCAGTTGGATACTTTTGCTCGACGATATTGCATATTGTAGCATGTTCCCCCCACAGATTGTTTCCTTTGTCCACACTTGTCACATCTAGTATGCAGTAGCAGTAGCAGTAAGCCTTGTAATTACCAGTCGCCCTTGATCTGGGCTTGAATTCATATTTCATAGTCGCAACATGCCTTAGAGAAGTTCGCAGCATCGTACGCCTTCTACGTCGTGATAAGATGAATGCACCTCTAAGATCCTAGTTTGAGAGAACATGTACAAATGGGCATCATCTTTGTCACTGCTATTGGACGTGCGGGACGGCACGCGAAAGTGTGCCCCACTATATGCGAAGACGGTTAGGCTGACGCTAGCAAAGAGCTGAACTGTAGCTAGACGCTGACGGGCTGACCTGCATGCTGGCCCCCAACTCAAGTTCGGATCTTTTTTCCATTCGCATCATGTCTGCCTCGTTTCTTCTCGGCTCACAGTCGTTTTCTGTAACCTAAAGTTGTTCTCGCATGGAGATTCAAGTGCAAGACGCGGAAGCCGCAAGGCAACTCTCGAATCAAGACCAAACTGAAACTCACCCGGCTCTTGATAATCAGGCTACGGATGAAAGACAAGACGACTATGGACACGAAAGACAAACCAAAACGAAGATCCAAGACGAAAAAGATGCTCGAGCGTCAGAGTCACTACTTCATACATTTGAAGATGATAAAGAGGCCATCACTCCCGCCCATGGACTAGGATCCCGCGATGCGCGCTCCCAGCAACCAATGGAAACGCACAACAATGACACAGATGGACCAGAAGTCATATATCTATGCGATCACCTTGGCTCTCGCTATGTCTTTCCGTTCGAGCACTGCTCCTCAAAAGAGGTGAGTACGTTTCTTACTTCGCTCGACGTTCGCTCTTTTCATGATCTTGAAAACAATTTTCTGTACGTACAGGTACAAATGATATTCGAATTCTGATTTGCTTAGAGTCATGTTTCGATAGTTTGTTGATTGATCCGTTTCCATAGGATATCGAGCCACTTTGGAAAGAAATCTACGCAGAAACAGACAAAAGCTACCTCGACAAGATCAATGAGGGAACCTATAAGGTAGAAAATGTCAAAGGCGCTAACATCTTGCCGAGTGCTTGGAGTAAGCTTGTCACACCCGGTTCGACAATCCGGATCGTATTTGTCAATCGCTCGGCAAATTCTCCACAGTCAGGGCCGCCGTTACGGGCTCATCTAGGAGACACCATAGAAGGTCATGGGACTGGTGGTCCCAGAGTCTTGCGTACTGTTACTTTTGAAGAACCACGGTCCGTATCGCCATCGTCAAGATCAGAAACCGCTGCCACTGCAGAAAGCGATCTGGCTGGAGATGTTTTCAAAGATGACTTTTCGGGAGAGTACTCTACCGATTACGAGTCTAGTGAAAGCGAGATGTCGAGTAATGAGGAGATACCGACTCCAGAGGACTACATACATTCATCGGTCCCTCGCTCCATCGCGACTCCAGTTGACGCTGAGGGCAAAGTGCTTTCATTCCAGGCGCAGATCAAGCAGCCAAGACGCAGCAACATGCTAAATCACGACTTAGGGATACATGGAGAGAAGAAGGCAATACGTAAAAGTGATGTTGAAACTTGGAAGATCACGAAGGCAATGATGACAGAGTTTGAGGGCCGATATGTACTCCAAATTCATACATTACCCGGCCCAGAGAATGCTCGGCTACAGGAAGGTGTGAGAACAACATGGTATCACATTCAGGCTTCGCAGCTCGACTTTGAGAGATTCCAAGACGTTTGTTTGGCCATACCAGGCCTTTCAGACCGGCTGCTGGCGCGCACTCGCGCATTATTGACAAAGGTTTATACGGAGAAAGTCAAACCCTTCTTGGGTGGAAGATTCATTGAGCCCGGAACTGTCCTCCGAGTCGATGATCCAGATGGGTCTGACTCTCAACCTGTCATTTTCAGCTGCGTACCATATCTCAGTCTCGAGCCACCAGAAAAACAAGGCTCAGAGGCGAACAAGTCTTGTTTTCCACCTCATACCCTCATGCAGGCAATGTATTTGTACGAACCAGTACGAGAGCGAGATGAAGAGCAGTCTTGCAGGAAGTTCAGCGATGATCGCTCTGGTAACGTGGTCCATGTCCCTAATCTGTGGATGATGAATATCGGACCTGGTGTAGTCGTAAGCCACGGACATCGACCTCTGTCCTCATATATGGATGGGTCTATCAACGTCGTTCAGGAGAACATCAAGCCAACCAGTAGGCAAGATATCACAAAGAACCCCCTGACATCAATCACTATCACTGATCAAGGTGGTCAGACACTCATGTTTCCTGTTGGAAGTTGCAGGTCCTACTTCCAGCTAGAAGCAACAGCCTACGAGCTTGTAAACAACTACATGACCAAAGCTGGCATACCGGAAAGCAAGTTCCATCTACGATATGAGACTTTGAAAGAAAGCACGACGATTCTTCCTGGAGACTGGAGGGAAATTGTCAACCGAGCAGCTGATCATGTTGCAATCAACATAAATATATCAGAAGGCCCAGAGGATGAGAAGTCAGCGAGAGATTCTCTCAACGGGTCTACGTCAGCATCCGCGGCTGCAAGGTCTACGACGTCTATACCACCATTTTTTCATTGGCCAGATCCAACTCGCAATATTGTACACCAAGGCGCAAAAAAGCCTACAGCTCTGGGAAAGCCTGACAAGAAACCGATTACCTATCTGGAGCAGGTGGAAGCGGCTATGTTATCGGAGACCCTCGATCCCTTAGAAACGACAGATCACGGTGTCGATAACGCTTTCACCTCTACCGACTACTACCGGTCTTTGCCAGAGAGAATGCAAATGGAATTCGGTGATAGCTTGTCCGATCTCAAAAATCGCGTGGAACTAGCAAAAATACCGAAACCTGGCGCTACGTTCCACCAAACCGTCGTTGGCAATCAACGCATTGGCATTCTAGAGCAATCGATCGAACTTCTTAATGTTGTTCAGGAAACTTTGAAGCTATGGGTGAGTGACCTCGATAGCGCCTGCGTTCTCCGTAAACTCTCGGGCGCTCTGGATAATGTTAGGGAGTGGGCAGTCATCATCGATCAACGCGGTTCTATAGAACACTATTTTGGCGAATACTCTGATACCAACCGGAAGCATCCTGCTACGACGGAATGTGCTTGAGTTCTTCGCACTGGTCATAGGCCTTTTCTACTATCGATCCCAGATGGAAATACGAAACTGGCAAGATCGATGGCACGGTGTAAGCGGTGCCAATCTTTGAAAAGATTCTCTAGTCCACAAACTGCATTTGAGCATTTGCAGCGACACAAAAGGTTTAACCGCGTTGAAAAACCTGACAATACGAAAGAGAGAGGATATACGACGACTCCCGGTGGGGAACATGCTGGTGTCGCTAGTATTCCAAAACTCCAGGACTGGGTTATGAGTCCTGCGCACTTTTGGCTTGAACATACAAACGCTGGAACCTTGAGAATACTCACCCAAGCATGTGCGACTGCAAGGGAAATTCTCGTCGAAGCTAAAGAAATTGTTGACGGAGTGCAAAATGAAGATGGTCGAATGTCGTCTTTGTATAGCCTGCCAAAAGAACTTGTTGAAGCGTTCCGGAGAATCGTGATCTTTTATTTGGCGATCGAGCGAGCTCTATGGCAGACTCGCCAGATCTACGATGACGACGCTCAATCAGGAAAATCCGCTCATCTTACCTTCGCCCCATATTCGGATGCAGGACTCGAAGTGCTGGAACGATTTGGTAACGGCGCAAAACTGTCGCTGTTTAGCGCTCGGCATGCGCTGAAGCAGATGGCAAAGTCGGATAAACCACTGGACGTCCTTAAGCACCTCTCCTTAGGATCGGAATATGCCTGTGCATGGTTGATGAGACGGTTATTTGCCAAACCTCTCGAAGAGAATAGGACTGCGGGCGATATGTACAGAAACTACGTTTCCAAAGTTGTAAGTGCACCCATGCTTGACCTCACGTACAGAGATTACACTAGTCTGGAGGCTATATCAGGGGTATAGGACAGTGGCGCAAATGCTTGCAGATATTCTTCTATTTATAGCTGACCCTTGCTAGCAATTCGAAGTCAACCATCGACCAAGCAAGCGCCTCGTCCGCTCTATCAATCTTATCCAGGAGGAACTGCAAATCCTGATATCAGTGAACAGATGGCAAAGCACTGTTATCCAGAACTACTTGAGCGTCCTCGATGATTCCATGTATGAAACAGCCATACCAGCCCGCCGAGGCATGTTTCCGTATGAACGTATTCTCGTTCAAAACTGCCTAGACCAACTATCTCTGGCTCGGGAGGATTACATTGATTTAATTTCGCGTTGTACTCCACTCTCCGACCGTACAAAGCAGATGCTCGAGATTAATGAAGAAGATCATGGCAAAGCCATCATGGTCTTCACGGTTGTCACAGTCATATTCCTACCGCTATCGTTTGTAACGAGCTATTTCGGTATGAACGCTTCAGACATCAGGGATATGGACCAAAAGCAGGACTTGTTTTGGTCTGTCGCTATACCACTCACAGTGGTTACGGTGGGGTCCTGCCTACTCATCGGTTATAATGGGAACGAACTGCGAGATATGATCTCATCATTTTATCGAACACTCATGGGCAAAGAGAAGAGAATAATCGAGGCTTATGGCATGGGTGTACCGCAACGTAAACATATACCGAAATTTCCAAGCGAATCAGGCGGCAGAGTGGATTCGTTCAATCCCGCTTATGACGCTGAATTCACCAGTCCCCGATTCGGACTACAAAGAAGGCCATACGACTTCGAGGCGGACGACGACTGGTACGACTCGCCCTACAACCCCACACCACTGAACAGGCTACCAGGTCCCCCTGTTTTCCGGCCTATGCCTATGACAAGCAGCGATGAATCGCGGTATTTCCTAGAAAACGACGGTTTGAAGAACAAAACAGGAGTAAAACATCGAAGAACAAATTATTACGATGGAGCTTACACAGCTCCGCGGGACCAGGACCGAATGGGGTACGACCAATACCGCTACGTTCGCCGCAGCAGCATCGATAATATATCGCGCAATCCCCCGTCAGTGCGGTCAGTTCACATACCTCCACCAATACCGCCTTGTGGATTCGCAAGCAAGAAGTCACGAAGCCGGAGTAGGAGTAGGAATGAACACGGCCAAGTTGGCTCGAGGGACACGTTCTTTCATTGATCAAGACATTGGATGGGAAACCTTTACTCTTGTACACTCGCACTACACTGCAACTCCAGAGTCCAAGTTTCCTTGTTACACATTGATACCTTTTGCCATACCAGCCTCTGCTACACGGTATGGTTGGGCGCATAAGCGTCTATTCTAGTAGATTGGAGTGTAAACATATGTTGGCATAGCTCAAGACAGCCGTCACCATATTACCAGGTAACATAGCAAGGCGGCATGAAATCAAACAAGTGAGGAGTGGGTATTCAAAGCACCAATGCATTAGCTATTATTACGGTAGGACGGCAGCAGCGATGAACTAGCAATTTTGTTCCACCAAAGCCTGTTAACAGGATAAGGTCCGCCCACGCAACATCCTCTCCATTACGGGCACGATTATGCTCCATGTCCCACGATCCATCGAAAACAAGAAAGAACAACCAAGAAACATTTCATTTGCTACTCATGTGCGCGTGCGCCGTGGCGCAATCGTGGTATCATCCATGATCAAAAGGTAGGAAAGTCGTAATCATGACTGGCGGCCCCCAAGCATACCGGGTATCACTGGTCGACGAACAAGCATCTAAGCGCGGCCCTGGAAGACGGGGTTCTGGTCACCGAAAGTAGTGTTGAACTCTCCGGAGGCAGGAGCGCCAGTGGGGTGAGTGGTAGAGCCAGTGGTGGTGGCAGCGGGGTTGTTCAGACCTGTAGAGTCGAGGCCAGATGAACCAAGGCCAGATGAACCAAGGCCGGACGAGCCGACGGGGGCGCCGGTGCCCGAAGTGTTGAAAGCATCGTCGACCTGAGTGCCGAAGCCGTGGCTACCTCCAGTGGTGGAGGGAACACCACCAGTCAAACCCTGACCACCAGCGAGGCCGGATCCTCCAGTAAGACCCTGGCCACCAGTGAGGCCAGATCCTCCAGTAAGACCCTGGCCACTAGTGAGGCCCTGGCCAGCACCGAGACCACCAGCGTTGCTGTACTGGCTGTCGTACTGGTTTGCTGATGGGTTAAGGCCTTGTGAGGCACCAAGACCACGAGACTCATCACCGGGGCTGCCGTAGCCACCCGCACGACCGTGAGGCTTGCGAGTGACCTTGCCAACCTGAGGCAGACTGGAGGTTTCCTTGGCGGAACCAATAGAGAAGATAGGGCTCTCCCACCTCTCACCCTTGGCAGCAAGCTCCTTGTACTCGGTAGCCTTGGAAGAGATACCTCCGGGCAGGGAGATGTTCTTGAAGATGGAGTCGTGCTGAGTGACAGCCATGTTGACCTGGGTGTCGCTGGCCTTCTCCTTGACCTGCTCCTTCTTCTGCTTGCCCTGCATAACGCGGTGCTGCATAGCAGAGGCGTAGCGCTGGTACATGTTCTGGAGGTTCTGGGGGTCGGGGTTGCGCTTGGCCTCAGCCTCCGCACGGTCTGCCTCAGTCTTGATGTCGAAAAGAATGCCGTCGAGCTGGTTGGCGGAGTCCTTGATCTGCTTCTCCAGCACCTTCTGAATAACAGGTCGCATGACCTTGAGAAGGAGAGGCTTGAACATGTTGAAGAGAAGCTTGTGGTTGCTCTTCTTCATCTTGATCTGAAGGTTCTTAATGTCAGACTCAACCTTGGTGACCTTGAAGAAGTGGGTCTGCGCGTGGTTTTCGCGGGCCTTGTCAGCGGTCTCCATCTCGACCTTGAAGCTGAAGCCGGAACCGCCCATGAAGATGTCCATAACACCCTTGTCGGTGATAGAGGGGAAGCCCTGCTTGCGCTTGATGTAGTAAGAGACATCCCTGAGGTCCATTTGAACACCCGAAACTGAGAGCATAACCTTGTTCTTGTTCTTGCTGGAAATGGACTTGCGTCCCCAGCGCCAGTAGTTGTCCGAGCCGAACTCCAAAGAGTTGGGGGCAAGGTTGTCACCCTCGATGACAAGGTTCTCAACGACAGCGTCGACCATGGAATCGCTGTACTCGATACGCGGGATTGGTACGTAGCGGACGTTCTCGAAGATGGAAGGCAAGATGACATCGCTCAAATCTTTGAGAAGGTGAGGCTTGAAGACGGTCTGGCCGTTCTCATCCTGACCGAGGTCAAGGAAGAGCTTGTTGACAGATTGTGCGAACTGCTTGTTCTGCGGGTCAGCATCGAACTGCTCGCCAATGAACTTGAACTCGTCGGCGATGCGGTCAGTGTGGCCACGGTAGCGACCACGGAGGAGGCGGTGACCATCGTCATAAATCTGGTTCCACTCCTCGTTGCTACGATCCTCTAGGATGAAACCCTGCTGCTGTAGGGTCTTACGGATGAAGTGGTTAATGCGTGTGAACCAGTTCTTCAGTTCGGGGTCCTGGTCGGCGTCCTTGTAGACCTGGTTAATCGACTCAATAAGGTCATCGAACGAGGTGTTGTTAGCGAAGCGCTCGAGCAGAGTCTTCAAGTTTGTCAGCCATTTATTTTCGGAGAGGAAGCCTAGATACGCACCTTGAGATCAGCTTCAGCAGTAGTTAGGGCATCATTTTGATGCGCACCTTGAACAGAGCCCTTGCCCTGCTGGCCCAGGTTCTTACCATGGCCAGAGTACTGCTCGGCAAGGCTGAGCAGAGTCTCAATGGCACGCTGGTAATCCTGGTGTCCCTGAATCTCGACGACCATCTTCTTCAGACGCCAGATGGTCTGCTCGCGACGCTCTTCGGGCATCTTTCCCTTGAGGTAGTTGTTCATTTGGTCACGACGAGCGCGAGCCATGTTCTTGTCCTCCTCAGAAGTGTTCGCATCGACCTTCTGCTTAGCAGTCTCTAGCGCACCGCGAGCATTGATACCAGTGCTCTGACCAGTTTGACCCTCATGGGCGCCGAGCTCGGCGGTGTGTTGAGGATCGCGCGAACCGTCTGGGTTGGCAGCCTGGTTGATGTCCTTGGCATGCTCCTTCAAGTCGCTCTTGGCCTCGTCCTTGTTCTTGTTACCGAAAGGCAGGCTGTTCTTAGCTTGGTTGCGGAGGTTCTCACGGTTCAGATCGGAGGTGTCGTGCCAGGTGTTGTCCTCAGCAGGCTCGTCCAATCGGTTGAGACGGTCTTCTGAGGGCTTGATCTTGTTGGCAGTGTTTTGGGCGGCATCGCCAGCCATGTCACGGAGAAGGACGGTAGCGTCGGAGAGCAGCTTCCTGAACTGGCCATTGCTAATGATTAGGGTGCCGAGAGTCCGTAGACCGTCGAGCGCCTCGTTTCCATGTTGCTTTGCTGTGTCCTTATCGACAGGAGCATTGGGGAGACTGGCGCTGTTGCTACCGAGGTGCTCTGCCTGCCAGATGAAGTCTTGGAGGAGGTTGCCCTCGTTCTTGGTGAGAAGTAGGATCTTGGCCTGTTCGATGACACTCTTCAGGTCGGAGACCAGGTGCTGGCCCTCGCTCGACAGCTTCTTAGACGGTGAGTTGAGTGCCCTGTGTGCAAGCGCCGAGTTGAGCGCAACATCGATCTGTTGGTTAGAGGGGACCTTTCCGTTGGAGAAGGCTAGAGTTGGTCAGCTCTGTTTGCATTACTTGTGCGACGCGTCGGTTGCACGTGTTTACCTACCCTCGACGATGCCGTAGAGTTGTAGCTTGTTGTTGACATCCTTCTCCTTCTGCTTCAAATCCACCGGACCTGGACGAGTTAGTAGTGTTTGGAGGGGGAAGCGGGGTAGGTATCCATACGGTTTACGGAACTCATGGTGTAGGACTGCTGCTGTGGGTATCAAGGTGGGGTATCAAAATGCAGACGCAGAGCTGAAAACAATGGGAGGTAGGGTAGATGGGTATTTCGAGGTAATGGGTATCAGAGTGGTTTGTGTGGGAGGGAAGGCGGGTGAGGGCAAAGGCAGCTTTGTATTTGGGCTGGCTGGGTAACACGCGCGATTGCAGCAACTACGTCACTGCGTCGTAGCTTCCCGCTTGTGAAGAGTCTGGGCTTGGAACAGCGACCGACCACGACCAACTTGATTGACCCCGCGACTACCGGCCATGATTTTCCCGCTGCCATCGATCGAATGCCGCGGAACATGCAGAGAAAGCAGCGCGGCAGCCCAATTCCCTGGTGATGTGCCGTCCAATGCCACAATTGTACACGCTTTCCCTGAGACATGGGGCCAGCCACGCCAGAACGAGGTCGCCCTGGTCTGTATGACGAGCCTACGGGTATGTTTGCGGGATCGATCGGCGCCAGGTTTCCCAAAAGATGCCAAAACATGTGTCTTGGTTGCGTCATGGGTAATTGAGCTGTGCGCCACAATCTCGATTCCGTCTTATGCGAAGTGTGGCGCCACCCCTTGCCTGCAAAATCTTCCCTGCAACCTTCGCCAGGTCTTTTCTACTGTAATTTTCTTGCTCTCTTTCGCTGCAATCTCTTCCTAGAGAAGCCACAACATCTTCCTCCATCGCCCCCCTTTCTGTTTGTGGTATTCTATGCGCCACATGTCAAAATACCAAGCTTTTCTTGGCATCAGGCTAGACGGCTGGCCCACTGCTAGCGCAAGTACCGCCGGCCACACCGCTCGCACGATGACGACGTCCATCTTCCAGTTCACGACGTCCAATCTCGTGGGGCGCCAGCTCATTCGCCGCCAATGCACTACAATGGGTCGTGCTGGCGCGTCGCTCTCATGGTCCTAAGGTCATGAACGCCACACACGCATCAAACGGCTTCCATTCGAACACGTGAGGCTCTGAAACCGGGAAATTCCAGACAAGGCCAATCCTGGAAGCGCTCTCCCTTCAGATCTGCCCGCCCTGGACGATCCTACACACAGACTTCTCGACGTGCCTGTCTGGTATAGCGCAGATCAGCCGACGCACTAAGCTTGTCGGCTGCTGCCCGTACCTCATCATATATTGCTACCTATTACCAGTCATGATAGAGATGCCATTATGTTTCTTTTACCCGTGCTCGGTACCTGCCGCTCCTGTTCAGTAGATTTCTGCCAAGCGTACGAACCATTGGCCTGTAGTTTCACCCGCACTTCAACGTACTACATATATCCTTTGATCTTTTGTACCACCCCTCACTTCGCACCTCTCAGCTGCTAATCAAATATCCTCGAAGAAGTCCTCGATGAAGCAATCGATCTCAGCAGCAAGTGCACCGATCGCGTTCTTCTAATCCTTGATTCTCACCCTCGCGATTGTACTGGATTAGTGGCCGAACTTGCCGAAGATCCGAACACACGCGGGTGCTTGCTGGCGACAACGGAATCGATCTTTTTTCCGGGACTATCAGCCCTATAGTAAGCAGGTAGAGGCGGTAGTGGTTTCTACCAATGGAAAAGATATCGAGAGGAGTACATATATACGAGCGAGGGGCGAGATCCATTTTCCCTGGGGGCGCTTGGATTACCGAGGTTCTCGTGGAAAACCTGCAGTAGCTCTAGGATATGATACTCAAGCGAATGATTAGAGACAAGTAAATAAGAAGCCGTGGTGGAAACTTTCGGCAAGCTAACACGGTATCGCCGGGAGTAAGAAGTAGAGAATTGAGGGGCTGATGGAGTTCTGCAACCAACCACGTTGGACGCCGGATGAAGGTAACAGTTGCAAAGGTAAATCATCCTAAATCGGTGGTGGCAAAAGAAAATGGGCGTAGAAGGAACAGATGCAGTCGAAACACTATCAACACGCTCTCGAAGTTCTCTGTCTGCGCCAAGGCGAGCGAAGAACCCTGTGATAGAGTATGCGCGGCGTTGTACGGTCCTTCTTGCTGTTATGGTCTCAGCGACAAGACATCTACCACAAATCTTCTGGTCCGTGGTCGACAGCACTTTAATTTTTATAACTCCATAAGCGAGGTAACCTACTGGACCAGCGGCGATTGACGCTTCGGGCGCAATCGCAATCGCAATCGAAATTGTTGAGTTGATTTCACTGACTTATCTTTATACGTGTGGTGGTTTTCTGGGAACCTGGAAAGCGTGTCTATCCGGTATCTAATGTACGTGTGAAGGTTGTATTTTCGTCATCTGTACTACCAGCTGGAGATGATTAAAATTCTATTCCTTACCCAAGATATTACTTCGAGCCGTTTCCGCGAAGCAAGTACCCCCCATTCTCATCATCATCCCCAAGCGGTATCATCTCAGCCTTTCTAACAGCCCTAAGCAGAACCCCTGGATGCAAAACTGTCATGATGACCACGACGCCGAACATCAGCGCCGCATCAAAAACATACAAGTACGCTTCGGTCTGATAAACCTTGCTCTCCGGCCCTTCCACAAACTCTGCCAGCCGAAATATACTCCGCACAACAACGAGCACACTAACGCTGTACAAAGCCCACATGTAGCGCTGCCATCTGACATGAGTCCGAAGTGACGTGGACGTGGGTTTGTTGTTAAGCCTCCGGTGAAAAACCACTGCCATTAAGATGAAGAAAGCAAATGCAACCAATTGCGTGCCCAGTCCCGCGATCACAACGGTATTTCCTGTCTTGACACCCTCTGGATCACCAGAAGTTTGCATTGCAGAGCCCATGATCTGGCACACGAACGAGCCTATATCGATGATAACATAGATCTTTGTCGTCCAACGCGGGTTCAATACAGCGTGGTGCGTAGCATCGAGAGCGCGGATAAGACGACCGAGCGTCATGTAGATGGTTGCTGCAAGGAGCGGCGCGGCCGCAAGAATGAGCATGAGTTGTATGAGGTAAGGGCTACCATTTCGGATATCGGATGAGGACCATGCGCGACCGTAATAGCCTGCTGCTTCACCTGTGAGATTTGATGTTAGTCAATTGTACTACGTGATGGTCATCGTGTAGCTACGAACCTACGCAACCCAGAACGAACGGAATAAAGAACCAACTTCGCAATGGGATGAGCATTACAAAATGAGCCAAACCACCGATTGCAAATAGCACCAGGAATGCATAGCCAGCGGGTCCGGAAGGCGTATAGGGATAGAGATCGAAATCGGCTTGGCCCCTCGATGTGAGGGCGTTAGACGCCATTTGCGAAACCAGGCTGATGCTAGCGATTGTCTTTGCGTGAGAAGCGAGGGAAAATGAATCAATGTAAGAATATAAAGGAAATGGTGTGAGGTGGCGAAGCGGATGACGATGGAGTCAGTTGAGAGTTACCCACGTTACTATATACTGTTTTAATAAGATCCATGTTTCTCGCATTCGACTCTTGCGCTCTCTTATCTCTCTCAAGCATTACTACAAGAGGCGCAGTGCCGCGCGGCATTTCCTCGGTCTAGTGTTCGGATGTTTCGTGTTGGTCTGCGAATTTCGTTGCGAAAGAGAATACGCGGTAATACGCCCTAATGCGCACAAGGATTTGTCGTTGAACGAGACCACTCACCTTATCTCTTCTGGGTTAGCAAAGAATCGTCTCTCCTTTTTTTATGCTTCTTTCGTTTATTTAAAGCTTCTACAGTCAGTTTCATATCCCGTGGTAATAGATTAATTAGGATTTTTGTGTATCATTCATGGCTTTGCTATGAGCAGTTAGCTGCTTGAGAAGGTCCATATAAAGAAGAAAAGGGTGTCCAAGCTATGGAAGGTAACTGAGCCAGCACTTCATTTGACCTCCCAATTTTCTTGAGCAACCCGATTCTAACCATCTTTTGTCGCTTGCGTTATCGTAAAGGAGGCCAACACGACAATTCCAAAGGATGCGATCGGAACTCTCTGCACTACGAGGAGCCGTCAGATTAAACAGAGAGAGGAAGAATAGAGTGTATTTATACAAGACCCCAAGAACATGGCCCAGCGCTTTGAACGCAGATTTGGCATCTTCTCTGACGACATGAGCAAGACTACCGACAACGGCCAAACACACGCCATAATGACTACAGCCAAGGAATCGTTCAGCAAAAGGATCTTCATCCGTGGAGAGTCTTAAGTCTGCCAACAAAGAGAGAGGACGCGCTTGTTTGTCCTAATGAATGAGGCGTGCAAGGTATATGCGGAAAGCTGGAATTCAACGCTCTTTGAGTATGCACGCTTCGCGTCTGGTCTTACTTTCTCCGTCGTACATGAAGTGGTTTACGCATGCTATATTAGAGATAAGTTGAATGGGCCAGAGGAGTACTCTGAAACCTTTTGGTCTTTGGAACAGCAACATGGGTGAAATCGGTTGCGCAATAGAGGTGGCGGTTCTCTGAGATACCATAGCAACATGCATTCACCACAAGCGCGGCATAGATATGCCGTGGGAGCCTGTTGTATCCGAAATAGCCGGCTCGAACATCGTTGTACAGGAAGTCCTATCATGCATTCTGTAAATCCCAGTTGGTTTAGACAGTCCTTGACACTGGACGTTAGGAGAAAGCTAGCCGAAGAACCCTACAATAACCAGCTAACAGCTCTTTGGGAAGAATGCTAGTAACGACCTCACAGAAGGCGATGGTAAAGAGATGGGATACAAGGGCTCCCGCACTAATATTGACTCTGTAGTGCCTCTTCGTCGGGAGTATGTAGTAGTAGCAGCAAGAAGTGAAAGCGAGAAAAAGCTAGAGAGCGTCAAGAGCTGTTGAAAGGCGTTGAAGGTACTGGGCGCGAGGTACATGAGAAGAAAATGAAACTGAGTGCGAGCCAGAACGTGGTGGCAATGTCTTAGTGCTGTGCTATTTGGACATGCAAGAGGTGAAGAAGTATACCTAAAAGATAGCGATAGCTCCTGGTGGGCTTCCGATGCCGCCCCTAACATGCAGTGGCGCACTGGTCAAGAAAAAAGTATACCTGCCCATCTCTTTGCACCTTTGGCTAAGCTTCTCAAGGTCCCACATCTCACCGATAGCGGTACCCCAGTGAACGAGGAGCCATTCATGAAGGCACCACCCCTCCTCGAACTTCGGTGGCCAGGCTTCGAAAGCAACAGTATCGCCAACGATCGCGGAGAAGTGACGGTCATAGAGCCATCTGACAGTCTTCTCGTTGGCCTGAAGACCGATGGCGACACTGTTATCACGCGTACCACTCTTGCGCTCCGCTTCGTTGGCATTGCTGTTATCGTCAGTCATGTTGAGAAACTGAGAAACTAACAGGACACGTACTTATGCCATCTCACGTAACCACTTCGTATCATCATAATATCACCCTGCTTCAGCGTAATGCCTTGCCACTTTAGCGTCTCTTCTATCTCCTCAATTGGAATCTCATGTCTCGATACCGGGCTTGGTGCTTTCCCCTTCTTCTCTTCATACCAACTCAGCCAGTCACATAGAACACCTCTTCCAACGATACCACCTCTTTCGCACCACTTGTGCGTACCGTTCGTGACGCTCTTAGCTGCCTCCTTATGTGAGAGACCGTTGTAGTACATGCCGCTCGCTTGATGCGCGAAATGCTTTAGACTATCCCACTGCGAGCCGGCTTGCGTGTTGATGTGAAGCTCATCATCATTAGCGCAGAAGTTGGAGAATTCTGCAAAGTCGATCTGCTTTTGCTCCAATTCTTTTCGGTTGAAGCCTGGAAACTGGACGTTGTGAAGTTCCCAATCAAGTTGGATGTGCTCGCCGGTGCTGATCTCCTTGGAAGCGGCTTTCACGACATCCGAAGTGAGAAGGTTAATAGCTATCGAACATTAGGTCAGTTTATTGCGCTGTATGTGGGAGCTTCCTCACTTCCGACTTCGTCTTTCTCTCCATTCTTGTCGAAGAAACCCCATATGCTGCCTTGTGGCATATCCTTCACCTTTGGCAGGTCATCGAATGCTGGAAAGTTATATTCTTGTTTAGCCATTGTAAAAGTATTGATGTTTCTTCTATTGCAACTTTAGAGAATGTACCACGAAAGTGTCTTGCTCTGACGATGCTTTATGTTAGGGCCATGAGCGCCGAGGTCAATCCTGAGACCCCACATCCAGTACTAATGCGTATCATGCGGAGCTTTTGGTTGTCAGAGCTTCCATGACGTCGGAAAATACCATTTAGCGTGTAGTGAATTTGCTAGTCTGTAACCAGATGATGGCAGTTGGTTGGTAGGCGGACCCGCTTCCGAAAGGTGCGCAAGCGGGGATGTTACTAGTTAGCGTACACTTAGGTAACCCGCCCGTCCGATGTCACCTGAATCAAGTCCAAGTACGGTACACCATCATTTTTAACAGACTAGATGAACTCTTGGTCGTCGATGCCAACCCCATGTTTGTTGGATTTATACTATGCTATGTCGTCAAGCAACATTGTTGTATACCAAATAACTGACAAACTTACTCATCGTACACGACAGCAGTCAGTGCATCGGGCAGACTCACAATGCCGCCAGCAACGGATCCACAACCATCCTTCGAAGTGCAGTAGCCGGCGCAATTGGACAAGGTGACATATGTAGGATGAAAGCACCCTCAACAACAGAAGCTACTTCTGACTCGAGTCATGAGATGCTGCTTGGCCATCTTGGGATACTGTTGCGAGATGCGGATTACTATTCCTCGATAATCGTTGCAAGGCTCACCGCAAAAGAGTTGGGTGAAGATCGACTTCTCAAGCAGGCTCTCGTGTCGGCTGAGAACGGGAAGGCATCGATGAACTCGATGTTTTTCGCGCGTTCGACTGGGAATGGGTTTTGTCATTCAAAACATACATTTGTAATAATTACCAAAATCGGACTGGCTCATTGATTTGATGAGAAAATGAGCGTTTTCTCCAGGCAGCACGTAGTCCTCTTCTCATAGCCAGGCAAATGTGTTGCGTTCTCGCAGCTTCTTCACTGCGTAATCCGCAAAGGAGCGACGGAAAACTCCATCTGGTCACACGCTGACGACACCTTCCATGTACTTCTCGCTGGCCAACTCATGGTCTCTGTTATCTCTAGAAGCCAATAACTGAAAGTTTGCGCTACCACTCAGCAAGTCCCGTTCCTGTTCACAAGGGAAATAGTCCACTCCGGTCCTAATAATGGGCACGTGGCTTGCGACTATGAGTGCAACTATCATGGAGATGGGATAGTAGCCGCGTACATAATGTGTTACGTCGAAGTTCGCCCCGGTGGCTTCGAACAAATACTCTACGACTTCATCTGATTCGTCAGACCGATGACTGCCATAAGCAACATCGCAAAAGAATATGGTTGTGACAGGACATACGCCGACCTCGGCGATCATATTTGTTCGTTGGAGATCCCCGATTCTTTTTAGGAGGATAAAGGTGGACGGATTGTTGTAAAGAAAGCAGATTCCCGAAAGCACCAGCAGCCCCTAGGTGATGTAACGCTTCTCGTTGTAGGCGACTGGCAATATCGGAATCGCGGCTTAGACGAGCTGGTATTGATACTGGAGCAAAACGTGTGAACAGTGTTCACTAAGTTGATGTGACCATCACTCATATATGCTATGGGAATGCAGCATTTCCGTACCGGTGCGAGATAAGGGGAAGTGTCCAGTAAGGGACCTAGCGATTCCACTGGCTAAACCTCATTGGGACATCTATGATTAGCAGTGGGGTACGATTCATAGTAGATTGAAGGATCGCTTGCATCATCGGGGTTTGTATCATTGAATTTAAGAAGCATTCTGCGCCATTCAGTGCGACAGTAGAAGGCATGATCGCCCTCCAGCCATACTTTCCGTGTTAGCCGGTCTTACGCCAGCCAAGCCTAGCAATTGACCCCGCCAGCAGCTGAACCTGCCAGTGGCTGTGCTTCCTCACATCTTTACCTACGTGCCACAACTACATTTATTCTAACATGGCCGACCTCGTATCAGGCATTTCCAGACTCAATCCGTTTTCGAAAAAAGAGATCGATGATGAAGAAAAGGGAGAATTTGTTGATGCCGGGACCGTAGCAGGCGGCGGTCACGCATCGAGGCAGTCGCATATCACAAAAGATAAGCTGCGCGTGAGCGAGGTACTCAAGAGCTTCCTCGTCAAAGAGGGCGTTTTGCAAGAGTCCGAAGCCGGCCTTAAGAGTGAGGAGCCAAGTACGGCGTTGAGAGAGCTGCTCGACAGAAGCCACATCAAGGTTCCGGCGGAGGTCATCAACAGGGACCATCCGCTCCCCGAGTACTTCATCAGCTCGTCGCACAACACTTACCTGATGGCACATCAACTCTTTGGCGAGTCGCATGCTTCTGCTTACGAGATCGCGCTGCACACAGGATCCCGTTGTGTAGAGATCGACGCCTGGGACAACGATGATAATCGAGAAGAGCCGAAAGTCACGCACGGGTATACACTCGTCTCTAACATACCATTCCGCCAAGTATGTGAGACGATTCGCGATGTCGTCGACAAAGAAGCTGCTAGCGAAAAGAATGCTGCACCTATCATGATCTCCCTAGAAAACCATTGCGGAGCGCATGGCCAGCTCCGCCTAGCGCAGATCATGCAAGAGGTACTTGGCCCCCGACTTCTCAGCAAGGCCATTCGCGACAAGGGCACACGTGAACAAGATGACTCAAGTAACCATGAGCATGTTACACTTGCTGAGCTTGGGAACAAAGTGGCGGTCATCGTGGAGTACCATCTACCCGATGAGGAGGAAAGTAGCAGTAGCGATTCGAGTTCCGACGAAGAGGAACAGAAGCAAGCTCATCATGAGTATGCAGAGAAAAAGAAGGCCACTAATGCTGGTACGATCATCCCCGAGTTGGCTGAGCTCGGGGTGTATGCTCAGTCGGTCAAACCTGTCAACAACTCCTGGTTCGAAGCAGAGCTTGACAACGCGCCCCATCACCAGCTTATCAACGTCTCAGAGTCAGGTCTGAGAGCCCACCTTCCTGCCAACAGCGCTAAGATCGCACGGCATAATGCGCACCACTTGATGCGCGTCTACCCCAAGGGCACCCGCATCTCCTCCAAAAATCTCGCACCAGTACCATTTTGGGGTATTGGCGCCCAGATATGCGCTCTCAACTGGCAAACCTTCGGCGCAAGCTCGCAGATCAACGAAGCACTCTTTGCCGGCTCTGGTGGCTATGTTTTGAAACCGGCAGCACTTCGTGCAGGGGGCTCTGGTAACCTCAACACTGGACGCCGAAAGAAACTTCGCCTACACGTTGCCGGTGCAACAGACGTTCCCTTGCCAGATGATCGCGACCATGATGACATCAAGCCTTACTTAACGTGTACCCTTGTGCATCCTAACGACATGAATAACATGCCACCCAAGCGCAAAACCGCCCCCTACAAGCCCCACAAATTGACCGGCTTCATGCACAAGGATAACTCGCCCGCTAACGATCCTGTCTGGAAAGATGTCCTAGAATGGGAATTCGAGGACAACGAGTTGACCTTCTTACGCTTGTTAATCAAAAGCGATGACAGCTTCTCGCGAAACCCAATCTTCGCTGTTGCAGCGATAAGACTGATGTATGCTATGCCCGGATGGAACTTCATTCGGATGCTAGACTTGGGCGGTCATGAGACTACATGTACGCTGCTTGTCAGATTCGAGCTTCTGGACATCTAGGAGTATTGGACCGGCAGTGAGTACGAGAGTGATGAGCCGGACTGCAACAGAGGGTGGCTATGTAAGGTCGCCAAGATGCACGAGAAGTTGTGTGGTGATGGAGGGAGTTGCTAAGTATCCGAAGTTACCACCGACTTCCAGCTCTTGACGAAAAACTAGTGTATAACGTCTCAATACACGATTCTCCAACGATTTGTGCCACGCTCAGTTCTCTCCAGTACTACTTAGCGAAATCTTTTCCGAAGCATGCAGATCCCCGCAGATCGTTACTCCTTGGGCTACGCTCTAGAACACGTATTCCCGTCCACTAACGCCCGTTAGTCTCCACCTTTTAAGTGCTTCTCCAAACGCCCGAACACGACCCCGCGCCGGATTGAGACATGCTTCCGTTGCGCCTCCAAGCTCCTGCGCATTAGTCTCGTACCGTGCCGATGATGTCAACGTACGCACCTCGATCACAGTCAGCTCGTTCCTTGCCCCACTACCTAAGTATCGCCCATGCAAGCTTGGTGAATGTGAACCACTCCCTCATCAAGCGACGACCACGCCGCAAACATGCAGTACGATAACGCAACTCCATGGGGACGGCCCGTCGCTGGATACAGTGGGGGTAACTATGCCGTTTGTGCCCGTTTGTGCATTGCCATGCTTTCGGATAGTTTACATGATGGGTAGCGATCGACTGAGTTGAACATGACTTGTACATGCATAACCGAGGGGCCTACAGACGGAGAGCTTTGCGTGTTGCTGGGGTATAGTGTGCGGGTGGTAATGGCAATCAGAGCGAGGGTCTCTCATTGCCGCATGCACGTTCATGAGCAGGCTTACGTCTTCTTATGACCTGGCTATGCATGGTGCTACACTGCCGTCTATATTGGCCTATTATAGCGCAGGGATCGGGCGATAGGCCGGCATAGAAGCAAAAACAAAAGTGGAGATTAGAATCATACTTCCAGCGGGTCAGACGATGGAACGATAGTTGCCAGTATTATCGGCGGTAGCCTCGGATGACGCTCAGGATTTGCGAAATGGTTCATTACAACATATTTGATGAGAAATGTTGGTAAAAGATACCGAAATTGGTGAACGCGTGTGATGGGGATTCAGACCTTCCCACTCCCACTCGACTCATCCTTCTCGCTCTCCGCGACATGCCCCTCTTTTTCTTCTCTGTCTCTTGAAACTATTTCCTGACCTGGTGTTACTCCCTCCGTCTCCAGAATATGGTTGGGTATCACCACGCCCTCCTCGGTTCGATCGTAGTTTGTGTCTTGCATATGATATATCCCCAAGTAGTAGAAACTTGCGATCCCTATCACATAAAACAATAAGATGCCACCTGCCTCAGCGATGAAAGGTATCTTGATGCTATCGAGGCCGAAACAAATTGCTTCACCCGCTCCAAGCACGCCGCGAAAGACACCAACATAGTGCGTAAGCTTCTGAGGAGAATTCGTAAGGGCGCCGATCCAGTAGTAGACGATGTTATGCCAAAGCTGTGAGAAGGTCCAGTTGAGCATGAAAAGAAAGAAAATCCATCCAAATTTTGGTTCGTCCCAATCTGTAGGGTTGGTGGGTGGATTGTTGCGATCGTAGTTTCGAGTTCGGATCTGCGTGATGTTAGTTCGTGTTAACGAGCCGTCGATGCCTACACATACCATCTCCCAGACCCACGCAATGACTAGAGGGATGCAAACACCTGTCAAGCCGACCAGTCCGCGCTTGCGGCGACCCCATCCCGAGTAATCGAGGACGTATTGCAACGCCCACCCTGCTGGTATCTGTATGACAACAGCGATGAAAGAAAGCAGTGAGCGTGTGCGGAGATTGTTGTTGAAAGCTGCAGAGATATAAGCGCTGACCTGGTAACGGATTTCGAACGCCTACCATTTACTGATCCACTGTACACCAAAAACCCTTCAGCTGGTAGAAATGCCGGTAGCATCATAAGGAGTATGGGGTCTGTGAAGACTAACAGATTCGTTCTGAGCTCCTCCCAAACTCCTCTTGGTCGATCAACGGCGACAACAGAGCCATCGTCTCTCGTGAGCTTGTGTGGTCGAAGCAAAGTTAGACACAGTAGGCCACCAATGACCATGATGACTATGAAAGCAATGTACACTGATCGAGGTACACCAGCAACAGTATCCGAGTTCCTGTTTATGATGACTGGGATAATGCCACTAATGACCGAACCGAGCGCTTGCATGTTCATAAGTATCGTCGCATAGGATCCTTTTTCTCTTTCTTCGGGGTAGCCAGTTGCAACGTAGCCTGCAGTGATAAAGACCATTCCTGCACCAATACCGATGATAGGACCGGCGGCGTATGGGTAAGCGCTCTTGCCTGTCTCATCGTAGTACCAGAGAGATCCCACGTACACGGCGTAGGTTTGAACGCCAATGCACATGGTAAGGCCAGGTCCAAGCTTGTTCAAGATAGAGCCACCAAAGGACGAAGAGAAGAACCATACTACAGGATGATCAGTATAGGTCACCCATAAGATTCATGTATGGTTGTGTACCTGCGCATAGCGTCGCATTGACAACCTGGACTACCTGCGCTGAATCCGGCTTCCCACCACCAGCTCCTAGAAGATTAAGCGCAACGTAGATACCGGCAGAGGAACCAACACCAAGACCGGCGATTAGCATCTGAACCCACGGTCCGTGGTAACGAAACTGAGGAAGTTTCAGGATCCCCATGACGTGTCACGCAAGCTATCTCCAAAAAGCAACGCGACGCAAAGATGAGCAAGAACAGAGGATATTAACGACAAATGCAGAGGTGAACGTTACACTAACAAAGAGAAGGGCCGAGGCGTGGGAGTAATATAAACTTCAAGCCATCTGGTGCTGCGCCTCCCCCAGGACCCTGAGAATCAAGAGTGGGTGCACTAAGCACCAGCACAAGCTCACACCCTCAACACGAGGCAAGCAAGGGCAGGTCGCAGCCTCCACCGATAGATAGCAACATGTCAGAAACTACCAGGGTTCTGCCGCATGGCGTTCAGGGCCCATTGATCCGTCTGCTTCATTTGGCAGTAATCGACCACAGTATCCTAGTGGCTTCGAAAGCTAGTGCGCAGTGTGCTTACCGACGAACCAAAACTCCATGATAGCGGATACTAGCGTCAGGTTCCCGTACTGGGCTAGCTGACTCGCTAGGGGCGGGCTGTCAACCCGTAAAGAAGAGCTGGTGGCCTAAGCCAAGGAAAAAGAAATTGGAGAGCATTGGGGAACGCTGGTACTGCCCTGAACGCTGCGCCTTGGGAGAAACAGTGCCTGAAGATGCTGCACTTATTCAGTCATTAAATAGAACACAGCCTACACTTACTTCGATAGATCCGTGGCAGACTAAGCAATAATTCAAGAGACTGTTCGGGTTGGACTGAATTTGACGTTGCACATAGGTGCTGCAATTAGGGTTACTAACACTCCGAGGATTGCTCCACCGTAGAGTACGCTACGCGGCCGCCGTCAGCAAAACTACGACACCGAGTGTACGGATCCGATTATCATAAAGGAACTCGTGTCCACTACAATGGGATACCCCAGACGGGCCGTCCCTGTGGCTGCCGTTTTTCTCAATCCCAGACCTGCCGACAGCTTACGTTGATGCGCTTGGTGCCCATGTAGCCCTTCCACTTCTTGTAGGCTTTCTCTTCGGCTGCTGTAGAGCCTGGTGTACCTGCCGGCCAACTTGCAAGGTAGGATGGACATGTGCTAGGTATCGAACGCGCCATCGCGTGCCAGGCCCAGCGAGCGTCGCCGGTCAGATGCACAACGTCGCCACTGTGGACTCGGATGGCAACGCTTCTGGGCGCATTCTCACCCTCTCCATCATCTTCTCCTCGTGCCATGATGAAGATACCATCGCATCCGACGCTGAAACTTGCAAGCGCTCTCTGACACTGCTCGCTGACGTCGCGATGTACAGGCATGAAGTCTTTAGCTGAGTACATCAAAACCACACCAGATTCTGGCCGGATATGGGGAAAGAGACCAGTCACAAGTGTTGATAAATCTGCCGGGAATGGCGTTGCATGCTTTGCATAGCTACGAGTAGGCCAATCGTATTGCTCGCCCAGTGTTAGCCAACGAAGCTTGGTGTACAAAAATTGCTCGTTGTTGAGAGGATTCAGCTTGTTTTGAACTTTCGGCATTAAACAGTCCTCCAGTGCTGCTCGTTGACGCAGAAAAAAGCTACTGTCGAATCGCAGTTCGTCCGATGTGGGTTTCGGAGGGTACGGGATATCATAATCCGCCTGGAGGTTGATCTTGTGGCCTGCATCTGCCAGATCTCGGTGCATGAGACATGACGTAAAAATGACTTGTGTCTCAGGGGGAAGAAGTCCAGATATAACTTGAAGGCCAGGGAAGTCGCGATGTTCGAAGATCTGCGCATCTTCTGCAGGTATAGCGAGTGGTTTGCCCCTTGCGTATGCCTGGCAAGCAGCTTCAATCTGAGTCGCGGGAATGATGCCTGCAGGGCGCCAGATGTCTTTGTGATCTTCACTAAACTGGTCGCGTTTGCTAAGGTCAAAAATGTCTGGGTCGGTATCTAGGTCAGCTTTACGCATGCTTTGATATCGCCAATGTTCCTTCTGAATGAATTGTGGTGGTGTAGCATGCGTATCATGATGCACCGAGCCCTTCTGCCATGACTGTTAGCCGAACCCGTTCAGTACGAAGGGGCGACATACGAACGCGCTCGGTGGCATCCGTGGACAAGTCCATTGCCGCGTTAGGGGGGTAGAAGAATTGTCGAATGTGGGGGCGAACTGGCACCTGGATTGATGATTGTCTTCTCGATGAGACATGTAGTCGCCTCAGAAATTGCATCAACTGCAGTAAGAGCGTAGAAAAGGTCGAAACTGAGATGCACAGAATGCTACCTAAGCTGCATAATTGGCATTACAGGAGGGCTAGGCCTACGAAAAGAATGAGTGCGAGGGGTGGGTCGTGCGCTTGTCTTATCGATAAGCAGCACAGGAGGGCCTTCAACTAGTGCTTTTCGCATTCTCAGTCTAGACCTGTCTTTGACGGCGATCTAGCTAACACACGATGGGCGTTGTACTGCCGCTCGCTGTCGTCGCTGATATTGATAACTTCGAAGGGTGAATGAAGATGTGAGACATCTATTTCGTGCGAAAACATCGCAACATGATATCAGATAGCGTATGACGCAAGTGCAGGTGAAAAGACGTAAAGAACAGGGTCTTTTGTCTAACAAAAACAAGGACTCTTCCAATACTCTACTTCCACACTCCCTAGTTTGCTACCTTGAACTGAGCGCTATCAACCAGTCATCTCATCATTTTCTATCTGATGATAGAAGACATTGACTGAGGGCTTTACTCTACCGCGCTCCGTTCAGATCCTTCGATTGCGCTGCCCCACCGTTCGTCATCGTCGCCGCTGAGTGTGCTTCGTCGTCATTTACCTCGATCATCACAATGCATGTGCACATTGGGGCTGTTGTACCTCCGGCCTGTTCCTGGAACATGCTACCGGTAGTATTGAAAACGTATGGCCTCTCGAGGAGTTCGATAATATGGAGGTGGTTTTTGGACACAAAACACGCTTCGTGTATATTGCGATGGTGTGAGCAATCTCTTCGGGATATACGAAGCTGGACTAGACGATATCAGTAGCTTCCGGACCGAAACTTCAAAGGCTACAATACCTGCATCTACCAAAGCTTGAGTGAGCTGGGGTTCTTCTTTGTCTGCCCACATACCAACACAGTCGAGGTCACTGCGATGCACTTGCATAGCGGTGCCAGCGGGTTCGTTACCATGTTCTTCGGTAGAGTTCTCGTGCCCATGAGATAACGACGGGAGATGTACTTGGCGATTATTCTGAAAAGAGCCAGGACTAACGGCTGATACAACCACTGCCGTCGGTACTGAAGAAGCCATTCTGTTCTTCAAGACTCTAAAGGAAATGAGAAAGACTACCCACTACACTTCAACAGCGGCGCGTGAGGCGCTACTTATACTTCATACGCTGTGACATTGGCTGAGATACAACGAGCCACTCTTCCTCTGTGTAGAACACACACTCATTGCGCAGCCCCAATATTGACTACGACTGACAGCACGGAGTCGCATGACTCGGCCTGTTCATTTCGCCGTCTGTTAGTACCCTAGTGAGCTAGCTGTATGTAGAAGGTTTAGATCTTTGTTATGGAATCGGGGATACGGGTTAGGGGCCGCTACGGGCTCTTGTACTCATCAGGCAAGAGTCGGAGTACACCTATCCTGGCGTGGGATCGTGGCTGTGGATACAGAACCCAAGCGAACTTCTGGAATCAACAGACCCATGACCATGGCACTCATTGCAGCTTCCGCGGCCGAATCAGACAAGAGAATTAAGAGGTTGGGGTGGGTCTGCAAACATGAGCGCCTGCCGTGTGGTGTCATGCATCGGATGTAGCCTTGCTCACGCGGTGAAACAAACTCGTTCCACGGACGAGCATAGTTACACGCGAAATAGGGATCGGCATCCCGAGCGATTGATACAGTCCAGACACGCTCAAAATAAAGCAGCTGGAAAGCCGAGTGTCTCCGCTACGTAGCTCGAGTGAGCAGTGCATCGGGCAAGAACCGTTGAGAGTGAGCTTGTACCAAGAAAGATGCGGTCTCTTCAACACGGAACCGCAAGCCGCATGCAGTTACTTTTTATCATGCTACATGATCGAACATGAATACCAAGTACTCAGTGGAGCAGAAAAACATGCAGTAGTACTTGGATATCGGGTCATAAAGTCCCCTCCCAAGATTAAAGTTACGTTGTCGAAATTAGTGAGAGACTGCCTTAGGCATGTATATTTCTCAATCTGGCCTTGATCGGTGTAGATAAGGGTTATGATGACAATGTGGTAAGATGATGATTAGGCAACACCCATTGTGCAAGGTACAGACCACTTGAGTGGTAGAAATCAGGCTATGTATATGGGGAAGGGTGCCGGCCCTCAAGGGTGCAGAGAATCTTGCAAGGCCTGAGCAGCCTTGTCGGTCCAAAGAGGAAGGAATGGGATGATGAGCCGCTTCCCCGTAGATCCTATCGTTGCTTAAGAACGTCACCGGGTAAAACTTCGTAGTGTCACCCAATGACACACTGCTGTACACTTACACAGCCTTGTTACCTGGGCAGGAGGCAGGACCACACAACCCGATCCCCCGGACTTAGTTCCATGCAGCCGTTCTTCTGGAATCTTTTGGCCAGTCTTAGTATGGAGAAGTAGCAAAATTGTACGAGAACTTGGCCGTAGCGAAGTCTACTTCCGCAAACTCGAAGACTAAAGGACCGCGGTGTCTCTTTGCAGCCACGCGCTTGTTGCTGAAGTTACTAGACAGCTATTCTCAGATGTGCGCAACGGGAGCTGCGTACGTGTAAACAAGTAGTGACGAAAGGCTTGCGACTTCGGCGGTACTGTGCACCTCTTCTTCGGACGACAATTTCTAAGTAAGCTGATAAGGTCTTGGTGGCGTCACCGCCGGTTTGCGCTTTGATAGAAGCTTCTTCCGGTGGGCTGCGGCAGTCTTCTGGAAGCCTGCTGTTGATGGAAGGTGCCGATTCCTGGGCACACGCGGCCGTGGAGCGCCTAACACTGGCACGCTGGGCTCAGACTGATTGCCGGGTTAGCGGTAAAGCCTACATCCTTCTTTGCAGGCAAATGGCTGAAGATTTTCGCAACCAAAAGCTCAAGTCGCTATCGTTCATGCGGTGTGGCAGCGTGGTGGATTCCTGGTTGCAGACTTAGGCGCCCCCCCCCCTGCGTCTGTGTGCATGAGGGTGGGTGAGCAGCTTATTTGTTTGGTTATGAAGACGCCGTGGACGGAAAAGACAGGCCCTCATACCCACAACTATTTTCCTCGTGCAGATCCTCCAAATCTCCCATGTTTTGTAGTTTCGGTTTCGTATCAGATTGTAATGGATCGGTATACTATTGCATGTCTGCAGCCTGCTCACTTACCACCAACCGCGCCACAGATGGCCAACAAGGATAGGAGGCGCGATTCGTTTGACATGCATCCTTCGCAATCCGAATCCTTCGCATGCAGTTGAAACTTATTAGTTTATGATCATAGCCGCAATTGCGCTGTGGCGCAGCGTGAGACTATCGCCTTGACTTTGGTACTGTGCCTCTGCCGAGTGAACTGCAAGGTATCGTTACGAATGTCGACATATTCGACAGCGATAGAAGATTGGCTAGATCTCTAATCTCAGAGAGACCTAGCATGTTTCATTTCTCAGTGAGAGTGAGCACTAAGGCTGTAGGCGGGCGTGGTGTCTGTTGACTGGAGGCATCGAAGGACCGAGTAGTTCAGCTGGTAGTCTCACTTCCACACCGCCTCGTGAGGCCAAGCCCCGCTGGCATCGTTTGTCTACCTCAGTAGGTTAGCCAGGCCTGTGAAGTAGATATTGGCCCCTATGTTGGCAGTCACTAGAGGTTTCCATGGAACCGGTTTGCCGCGTATCGTGCAACCGAGTATGGGAACAGAATCGAGATTAGGGGGTTAGATGATGAACTGCGATGCCTTTCACGACCGACTTTTGTCGCACTGCGGCCGCGGTATTTGCGATGACATACCACGACGCTGTGATCATCTCAATATTGGCAAGATTTTTTTGACTATTGTAGAGCATATGAGTGCAAAATAATGCTCTACATTCCAGATCGAAGATGTTACAGTAACTCAAGCAGCGATATGGAACCATTAGCACGAGGTTGTCAGGCCAAGAATCTTCGAATCAGAGTTGCTATCAGTCAATCAGTCAGTTGTCAGTTCATCTTTGCGGTTCAAACTGTCAGTCTGGAGGTAGTGAACTGACCTGATTGACTGCCAAGACATTTTTTAGAATCGCGAACTGAGACTG